AAGCAAAATGTGCTTGCTTTATATATCTAGAGCACACAGTGAAACTGATCGACTCAGCCAAGGTCTTACTTTATTACATAGTATAATTGAGTAAACTGGCTCTGAATACTTACCTAGATTCGGATATTAACCAAAAATGTAAACTTCTAATAAGCTTGGTATATCAGGTTCAATATGCAACATGAAATTGACAATAAACTTGAGGCATGGACTAGTAACTTTTTAAGGAATAAAAGCAAGAAAAAAAGACTTACTCCAGTAAATACAGTTATGGCGTTGTCAGTTTTCTCATCATTCACCGGATATGATTCACGCCATCTACTCCAGATTCCACTAACACTAAATTTGGGCATAAACTCAACCTTCAAAGAGACATCAATTTAAAATCTATAACCAGCCTGATGCTTTCAGAAGTTATAGTATTTTCAAAGAGCTAGCTCAAACAAATATGGATAGTATAGGTTACCAAAGACCGCGCGTAAAGAGGCGCAAATAAAGCATTGAAAAGCCCATGGACATGATGTAATGGGAGGCAGTGGAGAAAACAATCAGAAGATGTGTACTCCCAAGCTTCAGTTAGCATTTTAACCTGCAAAATATATAAGCTTAGAACTTAGAAGGTACATCGTACTTTCGCTGACTCACTGGAGAGACAGAGAAATGCTTATAATTCAGAAGAGATCACAATTTTTATCAGTTTGATATCTGCAGCCACATTCAAATGCAGGTCGAGTGGATTTCATTAATGATGTGAGCTACATATGGGAGGTTGGATATATACCTGGGAATTGATGCTATTGTGACTATGGACAACTCCTTTTGGCTTACCAGTTGTACCACTAGTATAGATGATCAATGCTGGATCATCTGCACAAATAAAGACTGATGTGATGTAGAAAAGACAGACCAATAATTGCTTGAACGTACGGTGACAGAAATTAAAAGAGCAGCCTTACATATAAGTTCATCATTTCAAGCATATTCAAAACCTTACCTAGAAACTTCCCTTCTGCTTTGAAACTGTCAACCTGAAGCTGAGTGGGAGCAACAGTTTCCGAATTAGAGTTAACAACAGAGGGAATCAGAAGAAATCGAGTGTCACCCTTTGCTGCGATAGTTTTCATACTTTCACTATGGTCCTCTGTGCTCAATAACAGAGATATATCCTAGAAACCAAAGACAGCGAGGTTATAGCACAAGAAAATGTCAATAATTTTTACTCGAGCGTAAATAGCAGCATAAGGAACACTTATTTTGCTAAGCTCGAAAGTGGTAGAAGACAGAGCTAATCACAAAAACCTAAGCGTTCTACTACCTCTGCTACTTTGTTCTACTGAGCACTCAAAATAACTGATGCTATAAAAACCAAGAGCTTGAATTAAGGGTCAACATTCTAAACACATAACTAAAATCAGGAATGCCCCTACGAACTACCATATAGAAAATTGAACAAACAGATTTTTTCGAAGATTTCATACCGAATCATTCATCACATGTAAGAGTTCAGCCTCTGGATAGCTGAGTGCAAGAGGAACCGCTACGCCACCACTAAACCATGTCCCCAGGACTCCTGCAACAAATTCAGCTGACGGTTTCGCCACAATTCCAATTCTAGCTCCTTTAAGATTACCAAACCCTTCATACTTTCTAGTTTCACCTCCCTACGAAATTTAGAAAAGCGAACAAAAAAAAATCACTAACAAGAAACCTGTTAGAATAAGATACTAGCTACAGTTTCAAACCAATGATCATACATTTGTAGTATCATCTTTGCATAGTAATTTAGATACTCTCAATGCAGACGATGTGATCTGGCCATAAGAGTAACTCTTTCCATCGGCTTTAATCGCTATCCGATCGGAGGAATTAGTCCCTTCTGAAAAAGCTGCTTTAAACACTTCCATGAGTGAACCAGACTGTGAAGCTGTAGCATTGATTATGTACATATAATTTCAGATAAATAAGAAGACGCAAATCATAAAACCAAAAAGGTTGTTCATTCACAAAAAAAAAGATCCAAATAAAATAAAGAGAAGATTATTGTATTCCTTCGAGATGCTGAATTATTTTAATATATCTTCAGATAAAAATAACATATTGTTCTGTTCTATGGATCACCACCAACGTTAAATTCTGAAAGCACGGCCGACAAAAAAAGAAGAAGGAAAAAATCCGAAAGCACGAATCTTTAAGACATTTCGTCGAACATGTAATATGCGTAACCAAAAACAAAGCAGAAAGACGAATCTTAACCAAACAAAAGAAGAGCCAGATCATAGTTAACCAGAACAGAATCGAATCAAAGAAAAACTCACAGAAGAAATGGTTAGATTGGAAGTATCGAAACCCAGAATACAAAAACGAAGTAGCTGGCTGGAATCGAGGAAGACGACAGGACAAAATTGTGGAGTTATGGCGTCGAGGGTTGTTAATTAAAGACAAGTAGTTGAACCGCTTTAATGTAGTCGTCATTTTTAGGTTGGTTTCGTTAAAAGTTCCGATCAAATTACGTAGCCGCTCGTCTTAGGTTGCAATCGCGAAAAAAGCTAGCTTTGCGTTGAATCGTGAATTAGCGGCTGAGGCGGTTGGAGACGCGATTTCTCAAAGCTCCCAACAGTGTTTTGCAGAGAGAATTCAGACACGTGTGACAAAACTGAAAATACTCAAAAGTGACAAGGGATTATGGTTTTTTCTGACGTTTTGGGATGATGATTATGTTTGAGTGAAATGGAAATCGGATTACTTAAGTACTGTTTATTGTGGTAATTATTTGATTAGTGGTTAAGCACTCTGCCACTTGTCTTACATTTTATTAGGTCGTAAATTTAATTTTAAGTAAGACCATCCGAAAAATTGCAGCTACATTACTGTGATCCTGACCGTTGATATTAGTTAGCTAACATTTGACAGAGATGCCTTGATTTAAATTTGTAGAGGAAGATTATATTTATTGCCAACATGCAATTTAATGTCTGAAATCAACTACTAGTATTTTCGACCATGTCCAACTTCGGGAAAAATTCGAAAAAATTAGTTTTCGTTTAACTATTATTTGACTGAAATTTGAAGTAATATTAGTATAAGACTTTATACGTTTCTTGTCAAAAAGAAAGACAAGGACTATTACATTTCGTGCCAACGTGCAATTTAAAATTAATTTTTTTTATTATATGTAAAATAATTCGTATAATGTATTTTATCTGGTTGACAAAACAAAAAAATGTATTTTATTTGTTCTATAAAGAGTCATTACATATTGCACACGATTTCACTTAGCAAAAACAAAAAACCACACGATTTGAAAAATGGTCAATTACAAAAATGCTATTTTTTGTGTGCACATTTGCAAGAATGCCACGTAAGAGTGTCCATTTACAAAAATACCACTAATTATAGATTTATAAAGCATATATCTTAAAATTCTAAACCCTAAAAAATGTTTTGACACCTAAAACCCTCTAAACACTCAAAACTAAACCCTAATAGAACATAATTAACCCAAACATAAATAATATAAAGAAAAAATAATTTTGAAAAAGTAGCATTTTTGTAAAGATTTCAAAAGTGTGACATTTTTGTAAAGTGACACTTGAAAAGTGGCATTTTTTAAAATTTCTCTTGAAAAAAACATTTAAACATATTTATACCAGTAATTTGATGTTAATGTCTTAAATCTAATGTTTGTTAATTTTCAATAAAATATAAATTTAGTGACAAATTCGTTTTCAATTATTTTACTACTTTCTCTGTTTCAGAATATGATCCGCGCATCGCGCGAGTTTTTGTTTTACAATTATATTAAATTTAATAATTTTTATGTATTTAGTAGTTTAGTACTTATGTATGATAAAACAACCAATTCTTTGTAGATACAAAATAATATTTGATTTTAAATAAAATAAATTAATTTTGTAATTTAGTATTAATAATGGTTAAATATATGAAGTGATTATCAATGACTTCGATATCGATAGTTCTCGTATTTTTGTTTACTTTGTTACGTATATATATGTGACTATTATATAAACCATGTTATCAAAAACTAATTATGATTTAGAAGATAAAATATATCAGTCATTTTTTACTCTATCTTTATAGTATGGGACAATTACAAAAATACCACTTTTTGTGTGCACATTTGCAAGAATGCCACTTAGGGATGCCTATTTGCAAAAATGCCACTAATTATAGATTTATAAAGCTTATATCTTAAAATTCTAAACCCTAAAAAATGTTTTGACCCCTAAAACCCCCTAAACCCTCATAACTAAACCCTAATAGAACATAATTAACCCAAACATAAATGATATAAGAAAAAATAATTTTGAAAAAGTGGCATTTTTGTAAAGATTTCAAAAGTGTGGCATTTTTGTAAAGTGGCACTTGAAAAATGGCATTTTTTGAAATTTCTCTTATAGTATGATGACTTTCATTTCTTTTTGTCATTTATCTCCATCTCGTGAGTTTATATATATTTTGATTTTTGTTCATCGTAGAGAAATATTTAAGATTTTGTGATACTATTTGTTGAATGTTGGTATTCGTAATAGGTTGATAAATAAAAATATTAAGATTATTTTTTAAGTTTAATGTGTGGTTTAAAAAAAAGTTGGATTGAATATAAAATTTATTTTTTATTGAGCTACAAAACCTTTTCATAAGAAATAAACCTTTCATGTTTCATAAAATATATAGATCTTAAAAATAATATAGAAAATATTCTTTTTCTTTTCACATTTTAGAAAACATATGGTTAAGTCATAACTGTTTCAACTATAAATTCATTACACATTTGAGTTTTTTTTTA